ACTTTGCATCCCATATCCAATTATATTTCTGTTTCTCATCTTTCCACTTCACATCACTAGTTTGTTTCTCTGTTTTCATCTATATCTATACCTAAGGATGTCCAGGAGGCTCTTACCTCATTGGGGTGGGGTCAAGCTATGGAAGAGGAACTCTCTGCTCTTAAACACAATCACATGTGGGAGCTCACCAGTCTTCCTCTAGGTAAGCATGTTGTTGGTTGTAAATAGGTGTATATTATTTAAATATTTACCAGATGGTAGAGTGGAATGGTTGAAAGCCCAACTAGTTGCTAAGGGTTATTCTCAGTTATATGGGATGGATTATATGGAAACCTTCTCTCCTATTGCTGAGATTGGTTCTGTTCGTGTCTTGATTTCATTAACAGTTATGTATGATTGGCCACTGTTTCAGCTTGGTATTAAAAATGCCTTCCTCCATAGCGATCTTCTGGAGGAAGTTTACACAGAGCAAGTACTAGGGTTTGTTGCTCAGGGGGAGGATGGTAAGTTGTGTAAGCTCAAGAAGGCAATCTATGGGCTGAAACAGTCTTGTCATGCTTGGTTTGGCAAGTTCAGTGAAGTAGTGAAAGATTTCGGAATGAGACAATGTCAGGTTGACCACTTAGTGTTCAACTATGATGCTAAAGCTGGGAAGATTTTACTAGTGGTTTATGTGGATGACGTATTCATAATTGGAAGTGATAGATTGGGGATTGATAGGCTAAGGCCTTTCTACAAGATCACTTTTAGACAAAGGATCTTGGGAAGTTGAAGTATTTCTTGGAAAAGTTACTAGGTCAAAGCAAGGTATAAATTTGTGCAAATGGAAATATGTTCTTGATCTATCGGAAGAAACGGGATAGGTGGTAAACCACCTGAAACACCCATGGAACCAAATGTTAAGTGGAGTAGTGGTGCAAGTGAATTGTTTGATAATCCTGGAAAATATATATGATTAGTGGGAAAGCTGAACTACTTAACTATTACTAGACTATATATCTCCTTTGTTGTTAGTGTGGTATCCAATTTATGCAAAGCCCCTCAGTCCCTCACTTGGATGCAATTCTTAGAATTGTGCAGTATTTGAAGGGAGCTCCAAGTCGCGGGTTATTGTACAAGCTAGGAGGAAGTCTTGAAATAGTTGGCTGTACGGATGCAGATTGTGTAGGCTCGGTGTTTGACATGAGATCCACTAGAGGTTATTGCACCTTTCTTGGAGGAAATTTGGTGACATGGAAGAGTGAAAAGCAAATTGTTGTGGCAAGGTGTAGTGCTGAAGCTGAATATAGGGCCATGGCACACACTACATGAGCAAACCTATTAGTGTACTGTGACAACCAAACTGCAATGCACATCTCTTCTAATCCAACTTTTCATGAGAGGACAAAACACATAGAGGTTGATTGCCATTTTGTAAGGGAGAAAGTCATTACTAGAGTAATAAGCACAGAGCATGTGAATTCAGGTGATTGATGGGGAATGTTAGAGTCAGTTGAGTAGGGGTGGTTTTGTCTTTTCATCTTATATTAAATTGTGCTTTGTCAGTTTATTTTTTATTTTTAGTTACATGCCACATACTTGAGTAGGGGCATATTGGACATTGTAATTTGAATTGATAAATATATATACTTGTGGTCGATTGGGAGAGTTTTCTCCACTCTAGTTCGACAATTTTCTCTCCTCTTCTTCTCTTCTTTCTTTCTCTCTTTCTTTTAACCGGAATCGACTGAACCATTAAACCATTATGTAAACTTTTACCCCTGCCTTTTCAAAACTCTTTTCCTCAATCCCTTCATCATTAACCCCTTCTACCTTATTACCAATGATCTCACCCTCTTTTTTCTGTCACACAACACCTAAACACTGACTCACCACCAACACCCCATCTGATGCCCCAACAGCTGCCTCGCTTACCAATAAAACTTGAACCCCTTTTTCTCTACCCCCTCCACAATCAGTTCCTCTTGAATCTCCTCCTATATATCCCTTCTGCCCTCAACCCCACCCTTTCTTTTAAAAACTCCCATACCTCCTTCCCTTCTGCTCCCTTCTTTCTCGCTCTCACAACCCAACTCAATAGAGTTCTTGCTCCCCTCTTTTGAACCCTCATTGATCACTTCCCTATCATTCTCCTCCCATTCGCCTCTTACCATGGATTGTGCTGTGGTGTTGGGTGGCTTTAAGGACATGGGCAGATCCAAAAAGAGATTAGGATGAGATAATGTAACATTGATTAGGCTTTTTCTCAAGTCCCTGTAGATTGGTCTGATGCTCCATCCCATGATTTAAACATCTCTAAAAGTCCTGACACTAAGAATGAAGAAAATAATGGGAAAAATAATTTCCTACTCTTAAGGGGCATTTGTGGAGGGAAGGCAAATTTTGGATGGTGTTTCTTTTTTTTTTATTGTTTTTGATCAGCAACACAAATGATGATTTCATTCATTAATTTAAAAATGGTACAACAAGTTGTTGCGAGTACAAACAATGAGAAAAAGTTACAACCTTAGCTTTCCCACCCACCAATACAATTTACATCATAGTCCAAAAAAGTTACTGTCTATTAACTCCTTGCTTAGCCAAGTTATTGTCCAAGTCATTAGCTGATCTTTGAACCCATTTAACTTCAATCCACATATACTTCGAGAACCATTTGAACTGCCTAATTTCATTCCTAAAGCACCAAGCAGCATTTGCCTCCTCCAGCAGCCACCTGATAGCCACTTGGGAGTTGCCTTCAACAATCAACCTTTCTGGCAGTGTGGGAGTGTATCCTAAATAAAGCCATATATTGGGTTAAAGCTTCAAACCTTTTCTCAGACTTCTCTGTTGATGACTTGTGGAGAAATTGGGAAGCTGTGGCAAGAAGTTCTACTGCGAGGAATAAACCAGTGATAGCTTGGGAACCTCCAGATGAAGGTTTTATCAAGTTGAACTTTGATGGAAGCAGTCTAGGGAACCCAGGACCGGCTGGTATAGGAGTATTCAGGAATAATGAAGGACACATTGTTGCTGTATTCTCAGGCCCAGTTGGAATAGGGGATTTGGTTTTATGGAGTGCCAACAAGTCTTGCAAGGAGTACTTGCTAGACGGCTAAACTTTGACAGGCTGCTCATTGAAGGTGACTCTAAATTGATAGTAGGGTGGCTGAAGGAACCAGAAACAGTGATTTGGAAGGATAAGGAATCTATGGAAAAGTTCAAATGGCTGGTTAGAGATATGGCAATTTTTGTTCAATGTTGAAAGTGGTCAGCAAATGGGTTGGCAGATTACTTTGCAAAATGGGGGTGCATAAGTTTGAACTTTTTTTTCTTTTTTTTTTGGATCAGTTGTAATTTGTGTTTTTTTGTTTGGGTTCGCACCTTGCATCCCTATTGGGATGTTTTGTCTTGTAAAACAAGTTTTGCACCCCTAAACTTGTTGTCATCATCTTTGCCCTTACAGAGTCCCCTTCCCCTATTGGGCCTGAGTTACATTGCTAGGATACCTTCATTTTCATCCCTTATTACTCCTACGATACTGGATGGCCTAGGGTTGCCCATACTACTACCTTTTGGCAATGAGCTAATTGACTAATTGACTCAAAGCAATTAGCTAATTGATATCTCTACACCATCCTTTTCAATGGTGCTTCATATGGAAGATTTAAAAGCTCAAGAGGGTTGAGAAAAGGAGAATCATTTTCTCCTCGTCTTTTTATGTGTGATGGAGGCACTATGTAGAATGCCACATAGAGAAGTTGAAGGTGGCTTTATTGAGAGCTCAAGTCGGGTTAGAATTTGGAGCAACTTCCTACCCTCTAGTTTGCAGATGATACCCTATTCTTTTGTGTTGCATCTCCAGATCTTTTGTTTTTTGTTTTTTTTTTTTTTTTTTGGAGAAGAGGTGACATGTATTGCTCATTAAAACAAAAGAAAGGGGGATGTAGAAATTGAGCACAAAAGGAACAAAACAAAGCTAAAGAACCACCCGAATTAGAGGATGTACAAAACAAAAGAAAGGGGGGATGTACACATCAGCTCCCTTGGTATCCATCTAAAAACACAAGGAGGAAAATAGCTAGCTGATTTCATTGAAGAGGTGATGAGTGACCCACTATAATCCCAAAAAGATTACCAGTCCTGTTCAGAATAAGATTCTCTGTACCAGCCCATAGAGGATGGTTCAAACAAATTGTGAGTCGTATTGTAAATTGTAAAATTTTGTTGGATTTAAACATAAGATTTGTGGGATTCAAACAAAAATCTTATGATTTTTGTGGGAAAGGATTTAAACATAAGATTCAAATCAAAACCCTTGGGATTCATTATTCAAATTGTGAGTCGTATTGTAAATTGTAAAATTTTGACAACACTGGCTGTAAATGGTAGAAGAAAGGTTTTGGTGGTAGATGCCAGCCCAGATCTGATTGATGCTTGGCATGTTTTTTATGTAGTTTATTCTTTATTTCATAACCAATAAAAGATAACTGTTACCAATAAAAAATGATATACAATATCAAATTCATTTTTAGTTTATTTCATTAATAAGATATAATATTCTAAGCCTTTTAGTTTAACTATCAATTGTATTCAATATCTGAATTGATCTTAATCTAATGGATACAATTCGATTCAAATTTGCATTATTAATGAATCAAATCTGGATCTAGGTATATATGATTCAACCTAATTCGTTTGCAGCCCTAATCTTACACCAGATATCTAGGATATTGTATGGGTGATCCACAGAATGGAACCCACCACAATTCACACATTGTTGCAGATGAATAATATAAGATACATTTTTATCCCTTACAAAATAAACAGGTCGTGTCCTTCATATTACTTGTGCCTTTTTGGAGATTGCCACTTGCATTCAGACTTGTGATACATCTATTATTAATGTTTCTAGTTATGATAATTTGCTGGAGATATTTTTGAAACATGTTATTTTAAGGATATATGAAGTCATTATCTTCTAAAATACTTTTATTCCCTGAATTTTTTTTTCAATGCAGAGAATGTGACGCATGTAAATGCCACTGCATCTGCACAGATAGAGAGCCCAAGCCTACATGACCTGCAAGTTTATGGGATTGTTGTGACTATCCTCCTGTGTTTTATTGTATTTGGTGGTGTAAAAATAATCAATCGGGTGGCACCTGCTTTCCTTATTCCAGTTCTGTTTTCTGTGTTCTGCATCTTTGCTGGGATTCCTTTGTCAAAGAATGGCGATCCTTCACGTGAGTAATGCATGTTTATACCCTTTCACCCCTGTTAGTGCATACATTTGCATTTATTTTTTTTGATTTTTGATGAATTTGGAACTACATTAACTTAATGCTAGTTATTATAGGGTAACCATAAATGAGCTTCTATTTGGGAGGGGAGGTGTCAGGGTAATTTTCATTTTCATGAAATTGCCCATATGATGACACTAGCCTAAGTGTAAATCTGTTCCTTGGTTGGTCTTTTACTTGGTCTCCTTTATTCCATAATCTTTGAAATGAACTGGGCTTCTGCTGTCTTTTTGACAAAATCCCATGATTATTGCTGCTGGGAAAACACACACACACACACACACAAATCCAAGTTAGGTACAGCTAAACCCAAGAATAACCTGGATAAACCTAAGGATCTGGTAAAAGATTTACACATTTTGTGCACGGATTATGTAGCACCTATATTTTCTCCACTATTTGGAACAAATTGTCTTCTAACTACTTCTATAAGGTTCTGAAGTTTGGTCTTGGTAAGTGGTAACATGGTTGTATTCAAGCCACTATGGTTCCAAGTGACACCTCTCTTGGCTGAGATGAGCACAACTTTAGGCATAGAAAGTATGTTCTAGTAGTAGGGTATTCATTTAGGGTCATGTTCTTCATGGTCATTGAAAAGGAACTATTGTAGACCTATAGATGTAAGACTAATATGATTCATAGCTGTTCTGGTAACAAATTTGAAGGAAAGCTAAAAGAGAAATGCTATTTTCAAGGGTTTAAGCCAAGGCTTTGGGTTTGTGGGCCTACGGGCAAGTTTTGGAAGGCGGATGAGTTTATTTATTTATTTTTAAGGCTACAAGGCTGTATGATTCAAGTAGGAAACTTGGAAATTTATCTAGTGTTGAAATTCTTGCAATATGCAGAAATCTATAAAGAGAACAAAAAAAGTAAAATTTTAGTATCTTGAGATTGGAATGGTATTAATTCAAATTGCTTGAAAGAATTAATTTTTTGATTGATATTTTTTTATATTGGTAATTTATAAACATTAAATGCACAAAGTAATATACATTGTTGAATAGAAGATAATTCAAACTGCTTTATAGTAATATGCATTGAGATTGGAATGGTATTAATCCAAACTGCTTTAAAGGAGTGTTTTTTTTTTCTGATAACTTAAATTTGCTTCATTGGTACTTTAAACATTAATGCACAAAATAATACAGCCCAAAATTTGACTCCTACCCATCCCTTGTTTTGCCAATTTATCAGCCAAAGCATTGACTGATCTTTGAACCCATTGCACATGCCCCTGCATTCCTCAAGTTAGCCACTTTAACTTCTTGATTTCATTACTAAAACTCCACATAGATTCTTGTTCTTCATTCAGTCCATGACTACTTTGGAGTCCCCTTCTACAATGATCTTTTTAATCTTCATATCTCTTGCTTTTTTCCCTGAATCCTAGCCATCCTTCTGCTCTTAGTGAGTCCCCTTCCCCTATTGGCCTAGAAATAGAGCCTCAATAATGCCCTTCTCATCTCTAAAACTCCCCTTATGCCTAAGAGATCCAAGTTCCCCATACTACTTCCATGAAAATTTAAATCTAATGAATCTCTCCTTTGATGGTACGCACAGCTTAAATATTTTCTTGTTTTTGTAGCTTGTACCTATCACTTTCTCCATCTTCTAACAATATCATCAGGTGAGTAAGGGGAGAAGAGGTCATGTGATTTTACCCAATGCACCACTTCAATAGTAACTCACTCAACAGCTACCTCCAATTAACAATTATCTTTCTGTCTCTTTGAAAATTCTAGCATTTCTTTCCTCCCATGTAGTCCAAACAATTGTTGCTTTGGTCACTCTTACCATCATTCTTCCTCTTTTCTTTGGCCACCTGAATATTGATGGATTGAAAACATTCCTTTGTTGGCTCATTCCACCTGCACCTAAACAAGGAGAAAAACCTCTCTCAAACACGAGAGACAAATTAACAGGAGATTAGTAGATGGTAGCAAGTCTTAATGCTAGCTTTGTAGAGGATACACTGTTAGAACTTCGGAGACAAACACCGAGAGGGCCTTCTTTTCTGTAATCATCTGAGGTGTTAGTTATCTTATGATAAACCTCCTAGCAGAAAGTGTAACTTTTGGAGGAATAGGTTTGCACCAAATTTCTTTAATGGGGGAAAAAGCGAGGAAGAGGAGGGGATAAAGTTCCTAAGGAAGGATGCATTGGAAAAGGAACCCAAAGGGTTATGAATCCAAAGGTGACCGTTAGGAGAAGAATCAAAAAAGCCCCACCAAAAACATTCAATAAATTAATGACATATGGAAGTTCCAACTCCCTTACCCCTCTTCTAAAATCCAAGTCCCACTCCCAAGTCCCAACCAAGAGATGTAGAGATGGTAGAAAATTTGGATATTCCTTCCCCTTCGAAGGTTGACAACTGAAAGCAACTAGGAAAACTCTCTTACAGAGGAGATTCTCCCAACCAAGTATCTTCCCAAAATAGGATGGAATCATTGGAACAGACATCATTCTTGATACAATCGAGGAAGTGTGGAAGAATCTTGTGAATTGCCTCCAAAGGTGATGCTTGTGTACTCCTTGTAAAAACTCCAGCATCCCATCCGTTTGTCATGAGCCCATGAATGTTGATCACCACCTTGTGCTAGAGCTTGTCTCTCTCCAAGGGGAATCTCCACAGCCATTGCTCCAATAAAGCTCTATTTTTCCTATCAATATTTCCTAGCCCTAAAGGAGTATTTTTCCTATCAATACTCCAATAAAGGAGTATCTAGAGTATTTTTTGTTCATTCTAATACAATAATACTATATCTTCTCTAAAAAAGGAGTATTTAGAGTAATGGACCTAAAATATGAGGCATTCTAAGTAAATCCTGATTTTCACTAAACTAGGAATGATTTAGAGAGAGAAGTCTTCCTCTAGAGATAGTGTGTGCGAGTGTTGGCAAGCGAAGGGAATTGAGAGAAGACTTACATAGATCAATTTCATCCTTTATTTGGCGTCGAATGAAAGTTTTTGATTGCCTTTCTCAGTCTTTAATGGATGTTAGTAGATAAACTCATAAAACTTGGGATGCATAGATAGCTTGAGAGGGAAGGAGGAAATGAAAGTTGGATGCACAATTGAGGAATTTGGATGCGTTGTGGTATGTCCTGATTTCAATGGAGGTTCTTCGTGGTTATTGCTGTATCTTCAATGGCTATTCTTATTATTTGTTTCTATTGTTAATCTTCATACATGAGGTGAGTACATGGAGCTATACAGCCCATGGTTTAAAGTTTCAAAAACACAATGTGTATCGGAGAGGAAATTTTAAGAGATGTATGAAGATACGCTTTGGATACACATGGATACAGAGTGAAATATCGGGATTTGGGGCATAATTGGAAACGACTGAAAAATGATAGAAGAATTGAAATGTGTGTGTGTGTATACATACACCTTAGTTTTTAAACAATCAATATAATTTGTATTAATATTTATTAGCATATATATATTTTAATAATGAATTTTAGCTTTTATTGACAACCATCAACTAAAAAGAGAGTTAAATTGATAATTAAAATACATATTAATATGCTGAACACTTAGGGTGTGGCATAGTGGTAGACTTTTAGTCATTATAAACTAATGACTAGGGTTCAATCCCTTTGTCCCCTATGTGTGATTTTTATGCCCCGTTCGCTTTTTGGTAAGTCACTTACCCGGGTAAGCTGGGCAAGTGTTTCCCAGGAAAGACTTACCTGGATAAGTGCATTTACCCATGTTTTTTTTTTTTCCCATGTAAATAAGGCAATGACAATCTTAGCCATAAAAGTTCTATTATTAAAAGGGGCATTTTTGTCCCATCCAAGTATTGGCAACTTTCCCCAAGATGGGAAAGTTAATTTACCCACCTAGGAGATGGGTACCCAGGAAAATAACAGGAAATTAAGTTTTAAATGTTGCCAAAATTAAATAAGAAAGGGGAGTAAATTAAATTCAAATTGTATCAGCTGATACATACAGTGTCTTGGACTGTATCAGGCTTGTATCAGCTGATATAGAGTCAACTCAAAATGGTCCGATACAGTCCCATATCAGACCGATACCGACGAAAATAAACAAAACATACAGATTCTGTATGTTCCGTGTATCGGCCCCTTGACGAAACACAATGTATTGGCCAAGATGGACTGATAATGTTGTGAAATTGCAAACCTTGATACAGCCATACAAAAGGTGTACTGCTTATATAGAGTGTGATCACTATTCACTTGTTTACAATTTCAATAGAAAGAATTCTCTCCCATTGATTTAAGAAGTGCTCTCTTTTCATGCCTTTGAACTCCTGTACACTTTTCCCATTCAAGACACCTCTCAATCTTTCTGATCAATTTCTCTGGCTCTTCCCCAATTTGATTAGATACTTGTTATTGTACTCCAGCCATATGGCCCAATGCAAAGCCAGGAATCAGCTGTATCTATCAAAGAAAAAAAAAACCAAGGCCAGGAACAAGCTGCCATAATCTCCTTCAACTGTTGCCAAATACCTTGGTCCTTGGATGGCCAAGCCACAATCAAAGAAGCCAGGTCCCTGGCATGACCATGACTACCTTGAAGAGCTGAAAGAAAAGGTACCAAATACAGTAGTAGATGAGATGCATCTTCCACTTCTGATTGGCATGAGGCACATTTGTTATCAATGACCAAACCCCTTGATGTGAAATGATCTGTTGTAGGAATTCTGTTGAGGATTGCAGTCCACCAGAAAAATTTCACCTTCAGTGGGTATTTAGCTTTCTGAATCCATGACCAAGGGACAGGTTCGACCAAGCTAGGAGCTAAAGATTTAAAAACAATGATCTATCTAAGATTCTGTCTGAAGACTCCAGGGTCCATCACAAGCTATTCTGCCTCTTAGGGTCAATTTTAGACTGCTGCAACATGCCTAACGACCTCAAAAAATTCAAGGCTTCCCAAACGTTTAGATTTCTTCTCAAGTGTGGACTCCACAATACCTGCAACCCCATACCTGTGGGCCAGCCTTGATTTCCCTCCCCATATTTTGTCTTGGGGAGAGTTAAGAGTGTTTACCTCTCCCCATTTTCTTTATTGTATCCTTTTTTTTTCTCATTAATGAAGTTTCAGTTATTGATAAAAGATTTCTTTATTACAAATATCCTTTAGAACTAAGAAAACATAAATTACAAAATTGTGGCTAGAATACTTTAACTCCATGAAATTGACTACCAAGGTACTTAACCGATTTTGAAATTTTAGACATGATTGAACCACTGACTGGAAAATCAGACTACTAGGCTGGGCCCCACAGAGGACATATAAAAACCATAGTACCTATTCTGTCTAAATATACGCACACATAAAAAGTTCAAAATAATTCCAATTTAGACTTGTTTGCACTGAATGGCTCTTGTTTTGTGGATATTGCTACCAGAAAAAATTGTTTTCTGGATGGTATACAATCTCAACTGAACTCCTACCGCTTTTCTTTTCTACTTCTCGTAAAATCACTTTTCTATAGTACATTGTGATGATATCAATGTTGCATAGACATGGACACAGGAGTTTGACATGTGTTCGAGAGTCTGACTCAGCCAGTGATTTAAAAGGCACACCTAGGTGCACAGGCGAGGTGCATTTTAGGGCCTGCACCTCGCCCACCTCGCCTAGGCCCAGGTGCACCAGGTGCACTAGGCATGCACCTGGTGCACTTTGTGCCTCAGCTCAGGCATACACCTTTGTTAACTTTTGCACTTTTTGTGTTTTTTGAAGTATGATGGCTGGGCGAGGCTCCACCCCCGGACCCCTGAGTCCCTGATCAAGCCCCTTGAGGCAAGTTCAAACAAAATGTTAGTGTTGTAAATTCTTAATTCCTACAAAAAAATGATTGTATAATTTTAATTGTCTTTTCGATATCCTTTATTAAGAAGAATGAAAGAACAACATTAGCAAATGGGGGGTTCTCAGAAAAAGGGATGAGAGCCATGCACAGATTTTAATTTTTTCAGTTACCTTTCAAAGACAAAGTTAAGTTTCAATTGGAATAGTTGGGTTTGGATGAATTTTTAAATTTTGATTAAAATGATTGCAATCTTTGTTTATCTTGATAACTACTGTCAAGGAATTACCTGAGCAAACTGTTCTGATTATTATCCAGTGAGGCCAATTTCTGACATAGATTGCAGTATTGGATAAACTAAATGATATGTTGCTTTCTTCATGGATTTTTGCTCTAATAGACTGTTCTTACAATTGATTACAACTATGCTAAATTTTGTCATTACTTAGTCACATCTCATTTTTTTTTTGCTATGAGCTGTGGATTGACTCTTTCTTCTCAATCCTTGACACAGCTGGAATCACAGGATTGAGTCTGAAAACATTTAAAGACAACTGGAGTTCCGATTATCAGCGCACTAACAATGCTGGGATACCTGATCCCAATGGGAAAATTTACTGGAATTTCAAGTAAGCTATATTATATTCTCTTAGGGGCAATTTCTAGAAATGAATAAGCAATAAAGAAGAATGTGTGCTTCTTAATTGCTGAAGGGCATGTTAGGATGATTACTTTACCCTTAATGTTTCACCACATGACTATTTATCCACTAAAACACAACCGATAAGCAATTCAATTAGCCAATTCAAGAATTATCAAATGGCACCTTAGTATGATTTTGTTTGTCATGAATAATTATTTGAGTTTCTTATATTGATATGCTGTTCCTTTGTATTCCCTAGTGGTGCCTCTGTCTCGCTCTCTTTGTAACCACTTTAACCCTGGATCTTTTTTATTAACCTTTTTCTTTTACATATTTGGATGGTGATATTCTGATTTTTTTTCTTGTTACAAGGATACTGGTACACATGTCTTAGTTTGGTATGAGTAGCCTGAAAAAAAAGTATGATTTGTGACTTCATAGGTATATTTTTAAAATTTCAACTTTTATTTTTCAGTAATTTTTATCTGATATGCACAAGTAATGGAATGCTTGTTGGAAAATAAATCAATGCAATAAACATTAACCAACAAAAATAATTTATAACTGATCATACTAAATTACCAGAAGTCAAGAAGGGCATACAAATCAAGGCTGTACATTGGGTCAACACAATGAGGCTGTTTGGAGAATTTTCAGTTGATATTGGATGTAACATGGGCAATCCAGGAGCATCCTGAATAGGAGGAACCATTAGAGATCACAATGGATCATTTTTGCACTATTTTTTGGGCCCATAGGGGTGGAGAAATCGATCAGGGCTGTGTTGTTAGAAGTTCTACCAGCCCCAAGATTGGCAAGGTTCTCAACTTGAGGAATACTATAGTGGAGAGGGATTCAAAGGTGGTGATGCAATGAATGCAACAAAACAAACAGGGCCCGTGGTGATATTGGTACCATTTGATGAGCTGAGAACCTACGCTGCTGAAGTAAATGGAAGTTTTACTTGGACTTTTTCATTAGTTAAAGTGCTAGCTGATGCACCGTCTAGACAAGGGAATCACACTTATTTGCGATGCTTGGCATTCTTAAATTTTCTGTACATTTTCATTATCTTTCTTAATATTAATAAATTTCAAAATTACCAATAAAAATCATACTAAATTATCATATATTACAAATTCACAATTCATGCCCAACAGTTACTGACCAAATATATATATATATATATACTTAAGAGTTTTGAGGTTTTTTAGTCATGCATTACAAATTTTTTGATCAGTATCATGTATTATGGATTTGACAAAGAGAAGAGTCCTCTCAAGTATTGTTTCTTGGTTTTAATATATTGTCAAAGGTGTGGTGCCTATTTTGAAGTATAGAGTGAGCTATTTGATCAATAACTGGCTTATGCTCAGAGGCTATCCGATGCATGTTAATAACATAATGAGTTTGCTTAGTGTCTTAAAAGTGGGGCACAACTAAGGAACATTGGCACAAGGGGTTCCTAGAGCATGGGATGTAAAGTTTAAGGCAAATTGTGTGCCTGAATCTAGTGATGTTCAATTATTGGATAAGGAAAAGAAAAAAAATAATATATAACAAAATGTAAATCAAAATTCTGAAATAATGAAGTCATGTTTGTTCAATTGGTTAGAGTGTTGAGGTATCAAAACATATGTTGTAGGTACAGAGCCTTTATAGGCTAAATTAGTTAAATTCTAAATCATAGGTACAATCTATAATGTAGTAAATTCTCTATTCAAACATCAAATTCAAGGTTAATTCATCAAAAGCTTAGCAAGAAGCCTAGTGTGGGGCACCTACCACCTAGGTTCAGTTAAAGCATACCCTACAAAATAAGCCTTGAGTGTGAGAGTAAGTATGCCTTTTGAAACATTGTGTTTGGTAGTTGGGTCATTCAGTGAGCTTCCTAGGTGACCCCAGGATCTTCATCTAGCAATTTAATTGGAGATCACAAGGTAATACAATTTGGCCCTAACATCTTTGCCATGTGTGTAAAAATTAGAACTTTGAATCAGTGATTTAAAAGGCATGCCTAGGTGTACAGATGAGGTACATTTTAAGGTATGTGTTGAGACCTCGGCCCAAGTGATGGTCTAGGACCAGACTATTATCCAGCCAGAGAGATTCCTAGAGATAAATGAAATCTTGGGCACTAGTGCGTGTTGATGGCTTTGATCCATTTGGAGGGAGAGGCCATTTAGTGGCTACAGTGGTACTGGCGTTCTAACCCTCAGATTTAGTGGTTGGACTTTACAGAGGCCATTTGTCACCGCTTTAGACCCTCGGGGTTTGAGAACTTTGATGAAACCCTGTCTAGACTGAAACAAGTGGGAACGGTGAGGGAGTATCAAAACGAGTTTGAGAGACTTGCTTCTTGGGTCTATGGGTGGCCTGAGGCAGCTTTGGTGGGTTGTTTCTTGGAGGGGGGGGGGCCTAAGGGATGAAATCAGATATGAAGTGAAGGCCCTGCAACTGGTTACTGTGAATGTTGCGGCTCATTTGACCTGCCTGCATGAAGAGAGGCTGAGCAAACTTAGGCGAGTCGCCAAGCTGAACCATTGTGGACCCATCCTCAAGACTCCTTCGACCAAGACCGAACCTGTACCTCTCAAACTGGTTGGACCAAATGGTTTACCCTTGAGATGTCTCACATGGGTAAAGATGCAATCCTGTTGCAAGCAGGGCCTCTGCTACAACTATGGTGACAAGTTCAGGCCTGGGCACTATTGTAAAAAACCACAAGTGTTTTTATTGGAGCTGGATGAAATTGAGGAAGAGGATCTCACGGTTAAAGATGGGACCCTAGACATGGTTGAGGAATTTGTGGAGAGGGAACCAAAGTTTTCTCTTCATTCTCTGACTGGTTCTTCCTCACCTTGCATCATGAGACTTTGGATGAATTAAGGGCTGCCACTGTGTTCTCAAAGTTAGACTTGAGACATCAGACCTGAGTACACCTTTAAGATGTGCCTAAAATGGCGATCCAAATTCATGACGATCACTATGAGTTCCTAGTTATGCCCTTTGTGTTAACCAATGACCCATCTACATTTCGAGCCCTAATGAATGACATATTCAGGCCCTACCTTTGGCAGTTTATCCTAGCATTTTTTGATGACATTTTGGTGTGCAGTGATAGTTGGGAATCCCATTTACAACACTTGGATATCACCTGGGGGGTTTTAAGGCAGCACTGGCTCTATGCTAAGGAAACCAAATGCCTGCTTGTCCAAACTGAAGTGCACTACTTGGGTCATATCGTCTCTCAGGCCAGGTTAGGGCTGACCTAGACAAGATTGCAGCAGTTGTGAACTGGCCCTCACCCAATTCCATCAGGGCCCTCAAGGGGTTCCTCGGATTAACCGGCTATTACAGACGGTTTATAAAGAACGACTTGATGGCAGGCCCATTAACACAACTACTTAGAAGGAACGCTTTCCGCTAGAACAAATAGGCCCAAAAGGCCTTCGAAGCCCTCAGACAGGCCCTATCCACACCCCCATCCTCTCCCTACTAGATTTCTCATAGGAGTTTGTAGTGGAGTGTGACGCCTCCAACTCAAGTGTGGGTGTGGTTCTCATGCAGCAGGGAAGGCCTATCGCCCAATTCAGTAAAATGCTATCCCCCCAGGCCCATTCGAAATCCACCTTTGACAAATAACTGATGGTGGTCGTTCTCTTAGTTTTGAAATGGCAATCCTACCTACTGGGTCATCAGAGCCTCAAGCACCTATTAGAGATACCAGTCCACAGTTCAGATCAGCAGAAATTGTTGTACAAGTTGCTGGGGTTTGACTACAGGGTAGAGTACAGGCCCGACCCAATGAACAAGGCAGCGGATGCTTTGTCTCGAACTCACAAAGTGGCAATCTTGAGTGAGTCCAAGCCCAGTTTTCGCTTGCTATATAAGTTGAAGGAAGAAACCTAGCCGAATGAAGCCTTTCAGAAAATTGTCCAGAAAATTAAAGCGGACCCCGCATCAGCACTTGGGTTTTGTTTAGTGAGCCCAGATCTCTTTTTTAAGGGGTTCTTGGTAATTGCAGCCCATTCCCAATTCTTGCTGGAGTTGCTACAACTATTCCATTGGTTGCCCCTAGGAGGCCATTCTGGAATACTCCGAACCTACTGGAAGGTGAGTCAGCATTTATTTTGGAAAGGAATGAAGAAGGCCATACAACAGTATGTGGGCCAGTGCTCCACTTGCCAATGGAACAAGTATGATAACCGGTCACCTGATGGACTGTTACAACCTCTCCCGATTCCAGCTCAGGTATGGGAGGATATAACTAGATTTCATAATGGGTCTGTCGGTGCCCATGGGAAAGTCAGTGATTATGGTGGTGGTGGACAGGCTGACCAAATACAGTCATTTTGTTGGGTTGGCCCACCCATATACAGCAGCCCAGGTGGCGTGCACCTTTGTGCAAGAAGTGACACGTCTTCATGGGACACCCCGTTCTATCTTGACTGATAGGGATCCAGATTTTGTGAGGCACTTCTGGACTGAATATTTCAAGGCCCAAGGAACCCAGCTGAACCACACTACTAGTTACCACCCCCAAGCGGATGGTCAATCTGAAGTTGTAAATAGATGTCTGGAAACCTACTTGAAGTGCTTTACAGGGGAGAGGCCCAAACAATGGGTACGTTGATTACTGTGGGCCTAATTGTGGTATAACACCACCTACCATTCGTCACTAGGGATGAGCCCATTTAAAACACTATGGCAGGGAACCTCCCTTAATTCTACCCTATGAAGTTGGGTCCACATCTGTGGTGGAGGTCTACGAAGTGTTACAGCAAAGGGATGAAATTCTGAAGTCATTGAAAGAGCACCTGGTTCAATCCCAACAACAAATGAAGGCCCAGTATGAAAAGAAGCATAGACTAGTATCCTATCAGGTAGGAGAATTTGTGCATCTGAAGCTCCAGCCCTACCGCCAGGTGTCAGTAGCCCATCGACGGTGGCCCAAGTTTGCACTCAGATTTTTTGGGCCATTTTGTATAGTGGGCTGAGTGGGGGAGGTAGCCTATGGATTGGACCTTCCTTCGCCCTCTTGCATTCACCCTGTTTTCCATGTCTCTTTGCTGAAGGAAAGTGTGGGATCTAAAGTGGTTGCTAGTCCCACTTTGCCCAAGTTTGACGATGATGGACGTCTGCAACCATAACCATTGGAGGTTCGAGATCTGATGTGGGTCAAGACAGGAAAAACATTTAACAAGGAAGCCTTGATGGTTTGCAAGCACCTGCCATAGGAAGATGCCTCATGGGAAGATTGTGACACTCTTAAGAGGCTATTCCCTGATTTCAACCTTGAGGACAAGGTTGTTTTGAAGGGGGCACAAGCTGTTGAGCCTCCTGCCCAAGTGACAGTCTAGGACTAGACTATTATCCAGCCAGAGACCCAACCCAGCCTACAGTTTGAGGCCCATGATCAGCCTGGCCCGATTACTGAAGCCAAGCACCCTCCAATTTGTTTCCTGTACACAGGGATGACACATCAGCCATGAACAATGCCATGCACATGTCTCATGATATCCTTGTAAACACTATAAATATCTGAGAATAAAGGAAATAAGGCAGATCTAGCTTGTCTCATTTTCCTCTTCTATCGCTTAGGAGGTTAGGTCTCCCTTGAAGAGACCTCTGTGGTGGGCAGTATCCCATCAGTATGCACCTTGCCTAGGCCCCAGGCGCAGCACTTTGAAAAGGCACGTGCCTGGTGTGCCTAGGCATGCGCCTGAGCTGGACTTTTAAATCACTGATTCAAAAAAAAGGCAAGGCTTGAGATGAAGTGCAGCCTTGCTGGTCCCCCAGGCATAGCAGATGTGTGCCATGTCTTTTGTGCACGCCTGAGCTGGACCCCCAACCAAGCCCCTTGCTGCACAGTGCAGCTCCGGTGTTTGCCTTTTTTGAAAACTTTGGCTTTTTTTTTTGTATTTTGTGCCTTGCTTCAAAAAGGCGCTCACCTTGCACCTTTGGCGCAAAATACCCCTTACACTTTTTTTTGCACTCTTAAAACACTGCTTTGAATGGCTAATATTATTTGTAAAGGGCACTGAGATAAGGTGGGGTATATGGCTAATTGGACTGTAAGATTGAACACGTTGATAATCCAGTGGGTCTGCTATCTAATGAACAATCTAGATAGATCAGCTGCTAGATTCCTCAATGTAGAAAAAATAGGTGGGCTTTGTGGGTAAGTTCTCTAAGTGACCCAATTAGGAATCCTTTTTCATATATATGGAGGCAAAATCTATGGTGCATCTGCTGCATTGTGCAGAAAAAGACATGATTGATCGAGTGTGATGGTAAGTACACCTTATTAAATGTGAAAATATACTTTGTGAAATGTGAACTGTTGAAAATTAAGCCGACTTTAACATGATTGGTTGAGATCTGGATTGAACATGCAGCCAATATTAGCAAATGCACCATAATTGAACTTATAGATGGAAATATATTACATGGTTTATCTCCTTCAGTTGTGACATTTTGGGATTTAAAAAAGTTGTGACATTATGACTTTATAAGGGTTTGTATACTGCTTATAGCAGTGGCATGATCAACTTAATCAGTACCTGAGTTTTTACTCTTCTCATTTTTCATGCATACTAAAGCACTATTGGAAATTTGGAATGTTGAAAGGAAGAAGCCTATGGAAACTCTCAAATTCTTTTCTTCACTTACAATCACTATCTGATTTCCTTTGTTTTCCTCTTTATTGATTGCTTAATCATCATTTCAATTGGTGTTTAATGGTCATCTGGATAACCTTTTCTATGTTTGTGATCCTGTTAAATTGTAAGACACATACAGTTGCTATTTCATAGATGAGTTTTGGATGGGTTTATCTTCTTGATTACCCCTACTGAAAGTGAGGTGATTTCTCTTGGTCTCAGTGCGCTGGTTGGCCTTTTTTTCCCTGCCGTAACGGGAATTATGGCAGGTTCAAATCGCTCTGCATCACTAAAAGACACTCAGCGTTCAATTCCCATTGGAACACTGGCTGCAACTCTCACAACTTCTGCTCTATATCTAATTTCTGTGTTATTATTTGGAGCTATAGCAACAAGAGAGGAGCTTTTGACGGACAGGTATTTCCATTTAGGTTACTACTACTTTCATATATGAGTGGACTTATTTCTCTTAAGTTTTAACTCCAATTGACTTTTCCTACCATTTTTCTTGTTTTGTTTTTGTGACTTATATATATCTATATATATATATTTTTTTCTGTTAGTGGACTACATTATTATGCTTTGGTATCTACTTCCCCTTTGTTTGTATGGTACCGTCATCTGTCTCTTGTCAGCATGGTCCTGTTGAAGTATTAATAGTATTTATTTGTTTGGCACATGACAAGCAGTTTGTGAATTCATCAAATTGGATCATTTTGGGGCTAGCAACAAGTACTCATTCAAGTATTCTTTCTAGTTTTTCATGGGAGCATGCCTTGTCATGTCACTATTGTTTCCCCTGAATTACACTTTTCTAAATATTTACAACGTCTTTAATCGACTAATGAGTTTTTTTACCAAATGTTTTAAGTCATTCAAATTGATCCTGAGTCATGATATTTGGAACTCTGATGTTGAATGCTTTTGTGCTGAAGCTTATCTATCCTAGTGTCCCTTTTAGATTTGGAAAATGTTTTTTTGCAGTGGCAATGTAAGTCTATGATCCATGATTTTGAAACATCGGGTCTCAAAGGTCCATATTTGTTGACAGCCTATGACCTCGATCATGAAGAATGTAAACCCTTTGTGCCATTAATGCAGTAATTTGAGTTTCTTGTGCAAACTTGAACATCCTATGCAGGCTACTTACAGCTACGGTGGCTTGGCCTTTTCCAGCAATAATTTATGTCGGGATTATCCTATCCACTCTAGGTGCTGCTCTTCAAAGTCTGACGGGGGCTCCACGCTTGCTTGCAGCAATAGCCAATGATGACATCCTTCCTGTTCTTAATTACTTCAAGGTTGCAGATGGGAATGAACCCCACCTTGCTACCCTATTTACAGCATTCATTTGTAGTGGGTGTGTTGTTATTGGGAATCTGGATCTTATCACTCCGACCGTAACCATGTTTTTCCTTCTCTGCTATGCGGGTGTCAACTTATCTTGCTTCCTTCTGGATCTTCTAGATGCTCCCAGCTGGCGTCCTCGGTGGAAGTTTCACCATTGGTGTTTATCTCTTCTTGGAGCATCACTTTGTATTGGTATGCAGCCTTATTTTTGTCATTGTTTTACGTGATCTTAGAGTTTTGTCATCACTTGTATTTGTCTTATTGATGCTTGAGGTAGGTGCATATTTCTGTCTGCTGGGGAGTCAGTCCAACTCTGGTCTTGTGAATTGATTATCCAAATTTTTGGATCACCATAGGGCATAAACTAAAAGCAATTTAAGATTTAGGGCTGCAAATTGATTTGGATTCAATCTGATTTGGATTCAAATATGGTTTATTTAGGTTGGATGGGGATATTTGTTTAACCATAACCAGATCGGGTTGGACTTGAAAAGATGATCCATTTATTAATTAAACTAAATTTTGGTATTGTTTCATCAAACTAAATTTAACTAAGATATAGGTAAACTTATTTTTGTCTATTTACAATATATAATTTCTTGCTTTATATTTGATTTTGTAGATTTATGCTAGATTTGTATAGGTTTATTGAATTTTGAATTGAATAGGATATCTGGATATTTGAGTTGAACTTGAATCAATGTTTAACATATCCGTTGGCTATTGAATTGAATTGGGATATCTTGGGTTCCTATTGGATTGGATTTGGATGTACCCATGGTTCAAAGTATCGATATGCCTCCGTGTATCAGCAGAGGCGTATCGGTACTTAGAAACACATGGAAATACTTTTTTTTTAATTTTTTTTTCAAATTTTGGTTTTTGGGGAGCTAAAAATGGTTTTTATTAAAAAAGGGTGGGGTGACCCAAAAGATACGATACGATATGCTCGATACGGGGCGGATCATATCGATTTTATGAACCTTCGATGTACCCCTATCTGGATTTAATCTGATCCATTTGCAGTCACTTAAGATGAGAGTTGTGAGGCTTGAATTTTCACATCTTATTTATTTGCATGTGAAATAGTGTATTAGATATTATATAATGCAGCTCAGGTCTAGCACAGTTTCTTGATCTAACCTGACCAAAGGTTTGAAATATTAGCATGTTTCTTTGAGTTGGTCATGTTTAGAAGTTCAGCCCCTTTTTACCATACTTGAGTAGGTCAACTAAGTTCATTCTTGACCTGATTGCTTTGTCCTCAATGATCCAAGTTCTTAAATTCTTTTGAATGGTAGATAAAGATATTGGGGTTGATTGGGAGAAAATGAATTTAGAGGATAGTTTGGGATTGTGTGATTAGGTACCATATTTAGATATCCTGGTTTAAAAGAATAGAATGGTGAATGATATCCATGATACGTGTTCCTCTTTATTTCTGTCACTCTGCACCCCAGTATGTAACTGAAGTTCTTGTTGACTGTGATACACATTTAATGCACTTTTTGCGTATGTTTATCTACTTTTAGAACATCAGTGCACAGTGCAGGTAAGCCTATGCCTTTGAATTATTCATTCTTATTACTGTTATGCCAACTTATTGTATACATAAATGTTCAATAAGTACCATATCTTCTTACTTGCTGCTTTTGTTATTGGTGCAGTTATCATGTTCTTGATCTCTTGGACATTCACTGTAGTGTCTCTAGCCCTTGTGAGTCTAATATACTATTATGTGTGCATAAAGGGGAAAGCTGGGGACTGGGGTGATGGCTTCAAAAGTGCATATTTCCAACTGGCCCTCCGCAGTCTTCGATCATTAGGAGGTATGTGTATACATCCTTGAAATGCTGAAAATGATAATTGCTACCCTGAATAATTCTCTTTAAATAGAATGACAATTATTTGAAAATTTTCAGAAAATAGGTTTATCTTTAAATCAGACAACTTTAGATACTTGGATGTGGATGCTCTATGCCTGTGATTTGTTTGGGTTGGCACACTGGCTGAGACTGTTGTACCATGTTAGCCACCCAATTTGAACTCTGTTGTAATCATAATTTGAGGCACTTGACAGGGATGTGGACTGGTTCTCACCTATTAGGTATTGAACAATTGGATAATAATAGTGTAGCTGAGTGCTGGGCCTCATTCGTCTGTAATCTGTGTTGAGAAATGCACTATATTTTCTGGTTTATGCGGAATTTGAGTGTGAGCAGGAGTATATTTGATATATGTCTCTTACATGTCTTTGGGGCTGATGTATTTTATGTTTTCCTTGTTTATTTTAAGACTATTATTTGCTGTTATAGGGGAATACAAGACAAGGGATATAGTGGTCATTTCAGTTGTATAGAGGAAAGGGGCTATACGCTTGATTCTTTTTCCCTCTCAAATCAGTTTCTCTTCATTATTTTCTTCTCTGTTTTTCATCTCTTCTCTTGTACTTCTCACTTCTATCTAAATAAATAATATGAATCTTATGCTTTTGAAAATTTTTATTTTATTTTAATTTTACATGTACAAAATTTTCTACCTAAAGTCAAAGGATAAACGAAACCACCGAATGAGTGCATGCTTGGGTGATTTGGTTTTCATGAGTTCATATGATCACAACAATTTCTTGCGACCATCCAATAAAACACTAACATGCTATTATCAGTCAAATAAAAAACTAACTCAGCGAAGGAATGCCTACTATTGCTACTCCAAATGATACAAGAACAATCCACTATCATACAAAATAGAGACTACCTCTAGGGTATAGTACCTACTACCTAACTATGGCGATCAGATAATGTCAAGGTGGATTAACATGTAGACTGACGTCTATGCAATAAAGCACTTATGGAGGGTTGCCTGCTTAACTGCCAAGTTATTTTTACATGGTGTTCTTGATTATTTTATATAATTAAATTTTTGAGATTATAATAATAAAACAGACATTATTAAACTAAATTATCCAGTTTGAATTAAATACTAGTTTCTTGTTATTCATTTTCTTATTTGTTAGGGTTCAATGAAGATGTATATTGTCTTGAACCCTTGAAGACAACAAAACCTGAAGTAATAAGCATGGAACTCAAAATTTTGTCCAGTCAACACATTGATCTTCTTCTTCTTCTTCTTCTTTTTCTTCTTCTTTAATCCTTTTGTTTCTTTTCTTCTTTTTCTAGGACAAAAATAGAGGCTCAGCTCATCTATTTTCTGAAATTTCTTTTTCTTTCTTCCATTCTTTTTATTAATATATTGGTTTTCTATGTTTTAAATAAAGTTTATCTGTTCTGTTGTGAAGATCATAGACAATTAATAGTGAAAGATGGTTGCTGCTTGCTACAGAACCTAGGGAATTATCCTAGTTTTCATGGTTTTTATTCAAAAAAATCCCTTCACCTAGGTGCCCACCTAGGAGATTGGTATCACCTAGCCTTGCCTCAGTGCCTTGAAAACTATGATTTATATCTATACTACTATTAAAAGTACAAATCAGCTTGTGGAACTTTTCTTCTTTACTAAAATACCCCTATTTATGAATTTGTTCCCTCTCTAATTATTAGGGCATAAAGTGTAATTTGAACTACTACATTTCACCTCATTCAAATCCTTTTTATCAAGTCTTATATCTTATATTTAGGGTATTAACTCCCATTCTCTCTCATAGTCTCATTAAATCCTATATTTGAGGTATTTTTTTCTCACCAATGAATTCTACTGATCAGCTATATCCAATATTTTTAACAATCTAAAACCCATGTTTTCTACAACTGACCCCAAAACAAAACTGTCCTGTCTAGGTGGTGGTAAGCAATTGAACCATCTGGGTCAACCCATGATGTCATAGTTAAATAATAAAAGTTTTAAGACAGAAATAAATACAAAAAGCTACAAAAAATAAAATAACCGTAGAAAAATTTGGGCACATCTCCAATATTTTGTATTCATCATATTAAAGAAAAATAAGTATGATAAGAAAGATGGTTTCTATTGATGATAGGAATAACATACAAAATTAAAAATCAACTTTTCCTGTTTGGTGGTGAGTCAACAGTTCCATCTTTCAGGTCAAATGTATCAACCATTGATGTCATAATTAAATAATAAAAGTTACAAAGATTAAAACCCAAAAGGCACAAAAATTTCATTGGAAACATTTGAGTACATCTCTAATATTATATATTCATCATATTAAACAAAAATAAGTGCAATAAATAAGAAATATTTTTATACATATAGAATATAAAAAAATTGTAGAAAAATTTGGACACATTGTTGCTATCATTATCATCATCTACAATTTCCATGTGCAAAGCATGTGTGCAATTGCTTTTTGGCTAAGAATATTTAATCTTGTTAAGCATTATTATCAATATCAAATATGACCAGAAATACCGAAAAAATAAATATTACCAGAAGACATCTTTTCCTATTCTGCTGCTCTAGACTGGTTGATGTTTTTCCTCAGGAAAAATAATGATCTGAAAGGTTGTTGATACTTAAGGAGACTTATGATCTATGATTTCATTTCAAGCAGTAAACAGAAATTGTGGACAAATTCTTGCAACTAGCTTCAGGCTTGTCCAAGTTGCAACTTGCAAGGACACTTTGGACTGTAATTAAGTAATTTATATTCAATACTTAAAACAAAGAAGAGGCTGATAATTTTCTCATATTTTCAGACTGTATTACTGCAAGTTAGACATGGGTTAACAGATTTAACTCCACCATATCATTTGGCATGCAATGGACATGTGTATTGATTATCGTCCATGTCATATATCTTCACCAACCATCCCCCTAATCCCCAACTAAAGATTTCAGACAATCAGATATTCCTTTCCAGTGTGATTCACCTTGTCACTAATTTATATTTGACTTCGTTGATGACTTGGAGTGGCTATGATATACTGCAGAGGACCATGTAAAATATATTTTTTAGACTATAAAATAGAACTGTTGGCCCATTTATCACATGAGTTGGTTAAATAAACGTGAATGCCAAATCATACGGGTTTTAATGCAATTTGTTGTTGTTTCAGCTACTGTTGATTTCCTCGCTAGTTTTTAAAGACTAATCTATTTGACCATCCCTTGCAGCAAGCCAAGTTCATCCTAAGAACTGGTATCCAATCCCTCTTATTTTCTGTCGGCCATGGGGAAAGCTACCAGAGAATGTTCCCTGTCATCCAAAACTTGCTGACTTTGCCAATTGCATGAAGAAGAAGGGCAGGGGAATGTCTATCTTTGTCTCTATCCTTGATGGAGACTATCATGAATGTGCTGAGGATGCAAAAACTGCCTGCAAGCAACTCAGTACCTACATAGATTACAAGCGCTGTGAAGGTGTTGCTGAGATTGTGGTGGCCCGCAACATGTCCGATGGCTTCCGTGGGATTGTCCAAACCATGGGCCTTGGCAACCTCAAGCCTAATATAGTGGTGATGCGGTACCCAGAGATTTGGCGTCGGGAGAACCTGACTGAGATTCCAGCTACCTTTGTTAGCATCATCAATGACTGCATTGTTGCCAATAAGGCCGTTGTTATCGTGAAAGGTCTTGATGAGTGGCCTAATGAGTACCAGAGACAGTATGGCACCATTGACTTATACTGGATTGTTAGAGATGGTGGTCTCATGCTTCTCCTCTCTCAGCTCCTTCTTACCAAGGATAGCTTTGAGAGCTGTAAAATCCAGGTCTTCTGCATTGCTGAGGAGGATGCAGATGCAGAGGAGCTCAAGGCAGATGTAAAGAAATTCCTCTATGATCTCCGGATGCAAGCCGAAGTAATTGTCATAACTATGAAATCATGGGAGGTCCATGTTGAAGGTGGTGCACAACAGGATGAATCAATGGAGGCTTTTACTGCAGCTCAGCGACGAATATCTACCTACCTAGAGGAGATTAAGGAGACAGCCCGAAGAGAAGGGACCCCACTAATGGCTGATGGAAAGCCTGTGGTTGTGAATGAGCAGCAGGTGGAGAAGTTCCTTTACACGACTCTGAAGTTAAACTCCACAATACTAAGATATTCAAGGATGGCGGCAGTGGTGCTTGTGAGCCTTCCACCCCCACCACTCAGTCACCCGGCATACTTCTACATGGAATACATGGATTTATTAGTGGAGAACGTGCCAAGACTCTTAATGGTTAGGGGATATCGGAGAGATGTTGTGACCCTCTTCACATAGCAGCAATGTTTCATTTCCAAGGAGCTCTGCACTTGTTTTTCTTTTGTCCTTATATTTCATATTCTTTCTTCTTCGTTTTTTTCCCTTAACTTCTCTCTGGAATGTTTATAATTGTAGACGCTTAAATTCATTCTTTTTTTTACGGTTTCTCTTGCCAAAAGCACGAGTCATCTCTTTGTCTGCCTCCATCTATGTAGCCCTTTGGTTGAGGCATTGAGCTTTAAAAGAAACAAGTCCCCCCTCCCCCCCACAAAAAAAAAAAGAAAAACGGAAAAGAGGAATGTTTGGAGATTACTGCCTTGGAAAATATATCTACAAGGGTTTATTTCCAGCTTCGAGGAACTGTTTTGGCAAATCCAGTGCAATGCAAAAAATTTGCACTGATGCAAAATTATAGCAGTGCAAATAATTTGAATGTAAATTCTTACCTATTTTTTGTTTCAAATTTTAGTTTATTTTCTTTGATTAAAGTACAAATAAAGTAAATTAAGACATGAATTAGAATAAAGGAAAACCCAAAACAAAATTGAACGAGTTTGCATCTTTTAATTTGCACTCCCATGCATTTGTACTAGTGCAAATAAATTTGCACTGCAACCAAACACAGCCCTAATGATTAACCTACTCACTCACGTACACTACAAACTATTTTGGGCATTGTTCATTTTAGACCCCTAGACAGTCTAGGGGTGACCGCTCCATGCATCCAGATAGCCTATAAGCAATGTTTGGTGAAAACCAATTGATGGTGGCTCAGTTGGTGGGATCTCTAGCTGTTTATAGCAGAGGTTCGGGAATTTGGGATCTAATTTCACTGCATCATGGTTTGGGGGCCCCTTGTGATTCTAAGAACGCACTGAGTATCCCCCAAAAAACGAAACAATGTTTGGTGAAAGGCTTCAGCTATGATACTGGAAAACCTGTAATCAATCAACATGCATAATAAAAGTCAAGGTTTTTAAAAACGAACCGGAAACAGAACCGGTCAGGGGACCGGTTTCCTGTTAAGCGGTTCAACTGTCAAGGTTGAATGGTTCGACCTGTGACATAACAAATAAATTAAAAATAAAAAATATATTTATAAATAATAAAAAATATTATAAAATTAAATAAAAAACAGAATAAAAGTATAATAAACTACAAAAAATAAAACTATCTAAATAAAAAATAATACAGTACACAATACATAAAAAATATAAAAATAAAATACAAAAAAATTAAAAAAATACAGAAAAAACACAAAAAAAACAGAAAAATAAAACCATAAAATTTCAACAATAAATCTCTCTCTCTCTCTCTCTCTCTCTCACTGGATGGTGGAGTAGCTATGACTAACCACTGTGAATCTTCCATCTACTTCGTCTGAAGCAAGAAATAGAGCAACCTCTGCTATATGGGTGGGATCGAGCCGCATATCTTTCTCTCCACCGTAGCCCAACCTGTGTGCTTAATCATTAATGCCACCCCTCGCACATTGGTGAGCATGGTGTTGTCGACCTCTTCCATATACATCTCTAGAATGCTGCTTAGAGGACCCAAGATCCTTGCTGATTGTTGCAGGTGATTGCCGTTGCAAGTGGCTCCAACTGTTACTGCCGCTAAAAACCTTCACCTGTCGTTGCAAACTTGCCGGCCGTTGCTGCAAACTTGATCGCAGGCAAGCTTGCCATCCGCCGCTACAAATGCTAGCCGCCGCAAGGCCTGCAACTCTTACTACTGCTTGCAAGTGCTGCCCGCTGCCTGCAAGCTTGCCGTTGGATGCCGGAGGTACTGGCCATTGTAGGTGGTCAGTTGGGTGTGAGGAGGGTTGAGAGGAGGGAACTCGGGAAACCCTAAAGCTAAAAGGACTAAACATTCGAACTGGGTTGGGGAAAAGGTATTTTATTTTTTGTTTTTTTATTTAAAACATTGAAAATAAAAAGAGTAACCCGCAAACCGCTGCCCAGGTCGAATGATTCAACGGTCCGACCGCCCGGGTCAACAGTTTTCTGACTTTTTCAATGGCTTTTAGAAATTTCTGGTTTTTAATAAACCAGACCTGGGGGCTGACCGGCTTCCGATTTTCTCGATCCAACTGTCCGGTCCGGTTTTGAAAACCACGATAAAAGTGGTAACCAAGGTTGAGAATAGCACGATATATTGTAGTATCTTATGTATGCATTGTTCAAAGTTCAAAATATCAATGTGCTTGGTGTACAAAAATTGTGCATCAGATGTTTGGAGCTGACATTGTACTCAGTTTAAGAATTTATTAAGTGTTGATTTCAAGACATTTTCAAGGCCACCAATAAGCACAACACTTTTAGGCTGATTCAATACAATTTAATTGTCCGTCTGTATCTATACACATACCTTTTTCCCTTGATGAAACCTCGAAAAACCCATATTAACTGTCTTTGCCAATTGAGGGGTGGCTCGGTCGGTACTTTGGAGAGGGGGTTATTAGTGTGGTGCTGTGCTACTCCTGTTGAGGATTCGGGCGTATCACCAAATACCCAAAAATACTATCTTCAAGCATATTATATAGGAAAAAAATAACTTTTCCATGAAACTTCTTTTAGTGGCTTCTCTAAAGCAATTCAACTAGAACTGGTGTGGAGGCTTAAGATTTTAGTGGGAGACAAGGCACAGTAGAAAATCACTTGTTAGAAGAAATCTTACACACACATGCAAGAAAAAAAAGCTTGAATTAAAAAGTTTTAAGTATATGGAAGAATAAGAGAGAAAAATTCTGAGCTTACTCCATTAGAAGAATCACACGTATTGATATCCTCAATTATGAACTTGCTCAACTTGTAGATTGCAGTTTTGTCTACATCATCAACGTGCGGGCTTCAATTGATGAATCCTGTTGGAGCATAAGAAAACAAAAGAGAGTGGGCTAAGACACTTGCACAATCTCTTAATATGAAACCAGAGAACTCATTTATGACCCAAGAAGGGTGCAGTCCAAAGTGAAGCTATTCCTCATATAATCTAAATGTGTTTTTTAATAGAGGGGCTCTATTTATATTGAGGCCTCTGGTGTGCAGTGCTACAAAATTTTGCTGTTCAAAAGGAAGAACCCTTTTATGCCGAGAATTTATCAACCACCTGGACCTATTCAATCTTTTGGATCAAGGGACAAGTGTCCTATAGGCTAGGATTATTTTCCCAGAATTTATCAACTACCTTGCCTAACTTTGACCATTCCAAGTAATTAATATGTTGACATGGCAATAGTTTGTTTAACTATAATAATAAGAATAACTGATAATGGAAGATAGGAGACAAGACAAACATATTTATCCATTGGTGTAGGATATGCCATCAGCCATAGGATTTATCGATACACCAAGGTTATTCTGAATCGAGGGTATTTAGCCACTCAGATCAACATCAATGTGGGATTTAGTGTTATTGGATTTGGATGATTAGATGATAACGGGGGCTTTTAATTGAATGAGACGTGCATGTAGAGTGCAAGATTCCGATTTTTCATTGATTCTTTCAGTTGGGTCATTTTAATCACGGTTTTCAAAACTGGACCAGACCGGAAAAACCGGGAACCAGTTAGGTGATCGGTTCCGTTTTACCTCAGAACCATTATTTCCCTCAAAACCGATTATTTGGTCAGTAAACCGTTGACCCGGGTGGTCAAACCGTTATTTCCCCCAATACCCTTCTTGTGTATTTATTCATTCTCAAGTAACCAAACGTCTCCCCACAATGACGTTTTCACATGGACAGCAAATAACATATTCAAAATTTTCGACGACAAACATTATCTAGTGATGATTTTACTTTACAGAATGATCTAAAAAATACACAAGAAGGACATTTTTTATATTATGTAATGTTTAATTGACAGAATACTAACAGATGAACTCAAATGTCTATTTTTGAGAGTTCAAGGTACTCAAGGAGTTTTTAAATCCATAGGTGCTCTAAAAGCCCTTGGTCTTGATGGAATCCCAATTTTGAATTACTAGGAATTCTGGTGGGCAGGACTTTTTCGAATTTGTTTGTGAATTTTTCGGGAACAAAAATTTGTTGGGATGATAAATCAAACTTTTATTGCCTTAATCCTGAAATGTTTTGAGGACTTTAGGCCTATTAGTTTCTATAACGTGTGCATAAACTTATTTGTAAAGTTTTGGCTAATAGAAAGAAACCTCTAATGCAGAAGTGTATTTCACCATTTCAAAGAGCTTTTGTCCCAGAATGACAAATTCATGATAATATTGTAATTTCTCAAGAATCGATACACTTTGCCGAAAAAAAAAAACGTTTTGGTGCTTAAGTTGGACAACTCTAAAGACTATAGCACCTTGGAATGTGATTATTTGTTTTGGGCTTTGAAGGCATTAGGGTTTAGTCAAGACTGGTGTGAAATGACTAATTAAGAGTTGTATTGATTCGGTGAATTTTTCTTTTCTTATTAATGGGGTTCCCGAAGGTCATTTTGGGGCCTCACGCGGATTAAGGTAGGGAGATTCTTTATCTCGTAATTGCAATGAAGTGTTTAACTAAATTAATCCAAAGAGCTAATAATGAAGGAAAGCTTAAAATAATAAAGGTAGCTAGAGGAGCCCTAGATCGAGATTTCACACCTCTTATTTGCTGATGATGTTCTGCTATTTGCCAAGGCAAACAAAGAGGAAGCTGCATATTTTGTAGGCGTTCTTTAAGGAATTTCAAGATTTGTTTGGATTGCAAATAAATTTTCATAAGTCTGGCCTCTGGTTTAGCTGGAATGCTCCTGTTACGGGGCAAAGAATGATAAGAGGACAAATGAAAATGTCCCTTTTTTATCCATATTATAAATGAGTTCAGATCTGTGCCTCACAAGGGGGCGCCCTGCAATGTCCCATAGTATATCCCCGCCGTATATTGGAAACATCTCCTAATGATGATATCATCAATTCTAATACTATTATCGGGAGATATTCTCAATACATGGCGAGAATGTATTGTGGGACGTTGTGGGGTGCCTCTTGTGGGGCGTAAATGCAAACTCATTGTAAATACCAGAATCCCTCTTCCGTGAGGAAAGAAAAAAGCACAAATCTTTAGAGTTTGTTATAGAAAAGTTAAAGGGCAGACTAATACTATCGAAGACTTGTCTTTCATATGTGGGTAGGAGGACTTTGGTTCACTCAACACACAATTCTTATGTACTGTATGACTGTAACTCAATTTCCAAAGTGAACTCTAAAGGTTTTGGAGAAGACCCAATTGATTTTTTGGTGGAAGGGTTCAGACAATAAATTAGGCATGAGGTGGGCTAGCTGGGATACTTGTTGAACACAACCTCTTTGATCTGTAAATTAGGGTGGAGGCTTCTTACGGAAAA